GGAAGCATTTTAGGAAACCCTCTGCTGGTCTGGAATTCTGGTCTTATTTGGAAGATGCCAGAAAGAACCTGGGAAGTTATTTAATTTGGAGAAGGAACTTTTAAAAATAAAGAATCAGGAGGACAAATTTAGAAACAGAAAGTTCAGAAATTTTTTTAAAAAGGTATTTTAACAAACATCCTAAAGCAGGACCAGATGGAGGGGCAATTTCTAGTGACAAGCCATCATCAGAGAGAAAGTAACCAGGCTTGAAAGACGGTGGAAGGTTGCCTCAAGGCTGTAGACTGAGAAACATACACAAGCATGAGCTTTCCGAGGTGCCCAGAATGACACAGCCCTGACAATAGCCAGACATGTCAGCACAAAGCCTCAAGGAACGTGTCCAGCAGGGAAGGAAAGCCAGGGGTGGGCAAAGACGCATTTGCCTGAAACGTGATTGCGCAGTCCCCACTTCATGTCCTCTATTTTCTGAAGCCCTAGAACAACAGCTAAAACTGAAGTTGACAGGAAAAACTCCAATGAACATACAAGTTTTCTGAGTTCCATTTACAAGGCCTTTTCACTTTTTTATAACCCTACACGATGAGAAAAAAAAAATCCCAAATAAATAGAAAATATCAAGACACTCAGGGAATACAAGCCATTGCCAATTGAGGATATGGCTATGATAGCCTGAAGACATTACTAGAGCTGAATCCTAAAAATCAGCAACTTCACCAAGAGGTAGCTTTGCCCACAGTGAGCTTGGAGCGAGAGGAGTACATCCTGGGGCTTTATTGGTTATTAGCTGTGCAACCTTGGACAAGCTACTAAACCTCTCTGTGCTTTCCACATCGTGCGATTGGGAATACCTACGTCGCTTGAAGACTGAGTAACAGATCAAGTAAACGGTAACACTTTGCAGCTTGTGAAACAGGTACATCTCTGTAGTACTGCCACTGCCCCATCTCACAGAGCTGGGGACTTGGCTTGAGCAGGAAGTAAATACCTGGGGTGTCACATGCACGCCTTCCTGCTGAGGGCTCTCTGTGTAGGGTGCTGTGCCGATAGACAATGTGTGGTTTGTTCTGTTCCTCTTCATCTTCTTGTTCATCGATGGACAACAGTGGTTCAATAAAGTAATCCCCATCGTGGGACCGGAATGTGCCCAGCTACAAATGAAGAGAGATGAGAGGTCGATTTGATAGAACTTGACCACAGGGAGGGGGGAAAAATGGAACATCGCCAAGTAGGCATTGGGAGGCATTTCTCCCAATCCTTTCTCCATGAGGGCTGCCAAAACTGAACTCACCGCCCACATATTCAGAGAAGTGGTTTATTTTCAATCTGCCAGGTCAGTACCTTCTTGATTTGACTGTAGTTTATTGCACCTGCTATGCAAATCTGTCTCTGGGAAATCCTTCCCTGGTGCCCAAATTCTAATCATACTTTCATAGGCTGTGGCAAGAGAGTCTGTGTGTTAAGATAGCCTGGAAATGTGGTGTGAGCTGCAGAGGGAAAAATGTGAGCTCCAGAGGGAAAAGCTGACCCATGGGAGCCTTATCATCAATAATTCAAATTCAGAAAGCATATACTGACTCCAGGCACCCCAGGTGATGTCAACCTGTGACACTGGCACAAGAGTCTCTCCACACCCCATCCCTTTGCAGTATCCAGGAGTGAAGGGGTACAAGGCTTGGAATGGGGGCTGCCTTGGGTTCCAGTCTTAGCCCCAGCCATTTATCCACCCATGTTGGGCAAATTCCTTAACTGCTCTGAGCTTTGGCTTCCTTGTTAACTGGGGATAAAAGTACTTCTTGTAAAGGCTTCTTGTGCGGACTAAATGAGATAATGGGTGGAAAATGCTTAGCAAAGTGACATTTTGTAAAGGATTAGAACACCTTAGTGCCTTTTTTGTGTTGCTGTGTTTGCCTCTAACCACCAGAATAGGATGTGTTAAAACACTTTGAAACCCATAAGGCCTTCTCCCCTTCCCACATCCCCATAAGTTAGGCAAATAGTAAACGATGCTTCAAGGTGGAACCACCCAAACCACACATCTAAGAGCACTAAAAAGTTGCCCATTCCATCAGTGGGCAGTCTTTAAAAGAAGAAATCAAGCTCCTCGGTGGGGGGGGGGGGGAAGCAGAGTGCTTCTACCCTCCCCAAGACACAATGGAAATAACCGGCCTTGAATGCCAGTAATACTACTATCAGCAACACTTAGGAGTTTGTTAGAAATTCAAATAATCCCACTCCACCCTAAATTTGATGGACTGAATCAAAATCTCTGGGGGTAAGGCCCAGGAGTTGGAATTTTAATGAGCACTCCAAGGTATTCTTATGCACGATAAAGTTTGGGAAGTACTAGGCTGAAACACTGGGGTTTCCAAACCTAACTAAACTTCAAAATTGCCTGGGGACTTTAAAACACAATGAGATCTATGGCATTACCCCATAGATCTCATTGTGTTTTAAAGATATCTCCATATCCGCAGATCTGGAATTTTCAATGATGAGGTCTAGAATCTATATTTTTAAAATAGACTTCCACGTAATTCATGAGCCCCTGGCTTAAAGAGAAGACAGTTCTGGTGTAGTTAGACTAACCAGAGCTGGTTTCCAGAGAAGTGGTTTAAGGCGTTCTCACACAGGCACCTCTCTCTGTTTTAAGTATACAACTCTGGTCTTCTCTGAGCACAGAACAAAAGTTCACTACAACATGTGAAATCTACCAGGGATAGGCCATAAATACTGGGAAAGAACCCGGGAGCTCATCTGGTGGTGACCTGGCACCTTTAATTGGTAAAAGGGGGAAAGTAAGGCCCAGAGGGAAGAAGTGACTTGTCCAAAGTCCCTCTTCAGTGAAACAGAATCAGTTGAATAGTGCCAATACTGAATCTAGAACTCAGATTTCCTGACTTTAGTCCAGTATCTTTTCAAAAAAAAGAATTTCAAAAGTCTCTTTAGTATTCCTAAAGATTCAGTCTCCTGCCCACAGTTAGGAACATGGGTTGCAAAGACAGAGAGGGAAGCCCAACTCTACCGCTTAGTAGCCAGGAGACCTTGAGCAAGCCTCCAACTTTCCAAGCCTCAGTTTCCTTCCTCATCTGTAAAATGGTTTGAGGACTGGTCCGTGGTGAGGATTTGGAGGGGGTGAGATAATGCACACAAAAAAGTACTCATCACAGTGCAAGCTGTGTGATAGGCATCCAATAAATGTTATCTGTATATCAGATTCATTTTGTTGTCGATTCACAGAAGACATGTTTGATGTTTGATGAATGTCTGATCAAAGAGTCATCCTCTCTTGATTCAAGTGACCATCAGTTCAAACATAGGTACTAAGTACCTACAATACACAAGGCTTCAAGGTAGGAGGGAAATGCACTGATGCTGACCCTGCTGCCAAGGGGAGGGATAGATCACGTGTACCAGGAACTACAATCAAAGGGAGAGCATGCGAAGCATCGTAAGAAAGATACAGACAAGTGTCTGTGAAGGTGGAGAGGGAGAAATGAGAGCAGTCTAAAGGACAAGGTTTCCTGGGAAAGAAACTATATAAGTTACACTTTTTAAAGATTTTATTTATTTGACAGAGAAAGAGAGAGAGAGAGAGAGAGAGAGAGAGAATACAAGCAGAGAGAGCAAGAGAGAGAGAGAGAGAGAATACAAGCAGAGAGAGCAGCAGGCAAAGGGAAGAGGGAGAAGCAGGCTCCTTGATGAGCAGAGCCTGATGGGGGGGGGGGGGGGCTTGATCCCAGGACCCTGAGATCCTGACCTGAATGGAAAGCAGCCGCTTCCTGACTGAGCCACCCAGGTGACCCTGTAAATTACACTTTGGAAGAGGGGTAGGATTAGAGCCTGTGATGCTGAGGGAGATGACCAAGTAAACGCAAAGGCCCAAAGGCAATGAGGTAGGACTGGGATAGGAGGGAAGTTCAGAGAAAAGAGCAAGAGCAGACTGATACACAGGAGGGTGGAGGGAAAGCCTGAGAGAAGAGTTTGGCGTGTGGATGTGAGGTGTGACAAGGCACCATTATGAATGACTGAACTGTCAGATGAAGAAATCTGCAGTTGTTCAAGAAGCAGTGAGGCGCTGTAGAGTGAGTGAACAGAGGAGTAGTGGGATCTTGCAACTACCCATCCTTAATCTGTTCCCTGTGTGTGGCATGGATTAGAGCAGAAAGACTGGAGGAGAAGCCAGTTGGAAATATTTCTTAGACAACAGTACTAAATGATGGGCAAGCAGAGAAGTAAAGAGGTCTAGAATTGGGGTAGGGCTTGTTCAGACCAGGTGAGAGACACATCGAAGATGGAATTCGGGGAAAATGATCACTGATTGGTGGGGTGAGTAGGGGGGCCAGGGGTAGATTGGCATTGTTAGATGCACTGTAAAGAGTGAAAGATTTTCTGGGTGGGCCACCAGGAACATCATGACACTCCTGGTATAGAAATGGTAATGGGAAGTCTGGGGAGGAAAGAAAGATAAATTCCAGAAGGAAGACAAAGGGATGAGGGGTTTGGGGCTAGATTAAGCGCTGAAGATTAGAAACGCCCACTGCATTTATCTTTGTATTCTGGACCTTTCCCTCCCTAAAGAGGCGGATTGCAAATGAAATGCAATATAAAGGGAGTTATCACGGTCGGTCGATACAATCATTTCTGAAATCCTGGCCCTCGGTTCCCTAAGAGAGCTGCCACTTGAAGATCCACGTGCGAGTTACCACCTCAAATTGCCAATTGAAATTAAGGTCCTGGGCAGGGAAGTATTTATATAACTGCTGCGGCCACTCAGCGGGGTGTGGAGGCGGGCAGGGAGGAGGAGTAAAGGTTGTTTACAAACTTTACGTACCGTACTGTCTCTGCCCCATCCGTAAAGTTCTGGAATTGGGGTTCTGGAATCTTCGGATCTAAGGGCTCTCTGAGGACCTGGGTTCCAGTGTCTGACTTACGCCCACCCTGCTCATAACCTCTTGAGGAATGAAAGGATTCCTGCGCTTTGGCCCTAGGTCTTGGGGCAGCGATGACTCACCGCAGCACCCCCTTACCCCCCCCCCCCCGTGCGTCAAACTGCCGTCTCCGCCCACCCCCAAACAAGCTCCACCACCAGCCGCAGCTCCCGGCGCTCTGCTGGGGGCTGGAGGGGGCTCATCCCCATTCCCGTAGCCCAGCAGGCTAAAACCTTCCCCATCCCAGGCTTCAGGCCTGTCTCGCTCCCCACCCGACCCTTCCGAAGAGCGGTGGAGAAGGATGCGACAGCCGGGCCCGGGACACGGAATCCAGCAACGACAGCGCGCGCGGAAGGGGCAGCCGAGCGCCCCGGGGTAAGTATCCGTGCTCCCCCCTAGGCAAGGGGGCGCGGGAATGTGGGTCCTCGGGGCAAGGAGTAGACGCATCTCCGGGGCGCAGTGCGCACGGCGCGGTGCGCTGGGGGAGCCTGACCCGGGAAAGCTTCTGCGTCACACGCGCGTGGCAGGCACGCACATCGTTTGGGAAAGTGAAGGGCCACTTTTGCACCGGCCAGAACTTCAGATCAGGTCTTCAAATGTCGTGGGGGGCGTGGGGGGAGGGCGGGGATAAAAGCGGATGCCATGTGGGACCACCTGGAGAGCGAGCGGGGAAATGGGGCGGTCAGGAGTGGGGGTGGGTGGGTGTCGAGGTACCGGCTCGGAAAACCTGCCAAGTGCGTATTTCGCGGGGCAGGGAGGCGGCCAGGCCGCGCCTTCTTGCCCTCCCTCTCCGGGAAAACGTGTGCGCTGGGCTCTGTTTGGCGATTCTCTCAGATAACCCAGAAGGACCGAAACCTCGTCTGGGCAGCTTCTCCAGGCTCTCTCCCACGATTTGTGTTTCTTGGGGCCACCCCGCCAGCAGGGTGCAGAGTCGGACTGCGCCACACCCCCACTCCCAGTTTCCACCCTAATTCAAAGCGTCCGGGGGAGGCTCCGCCCTCCTCCCCGCCCCCGGGGCCCTCGGCCCACCCTTCCGTTCCTGGGACGGACCTGTTCCCCGTCACTCCAGTTCAGCCTCAGGGTTCCTGGCGCGTGAAAAAGGCCCAAAGAAATCGCCGGGACTCTAGATTACGCACCGCCCTCCACGACACACAGAAGGAACTCCCCACACCCGAGGCTGGGGATCCTCAGCCCACACCCCTGACTCCAGGCTCGCCAGTAAGGAGTCGGGTCCTCCCTGCGCTCAGCGGCTCCGCTCCCGGGCAGCAGGGTTTGCTGCAAGGAAGGACAAGTCTCCGAGTTTGGAAACCGACTTGCCAGCCGCCTGCTAGCGTGGGGCAAAGCGCAGCGGAGCCGAGTTCGGGCTCCAGAAAGCTCGGAGACTTGCAGAACCCCGGGGAGGGGGGGGGGCGGATGCGTGCGCTCCTCGCCGGTGTAAGCACGCGCGCACGGGGCTTGTCACCCAAGCCTCAGGATGCAAACCAGCTCCTAGCGGATATTTAAAGCCAGAGTGGAAGCTCGGCGCAGTGAGGGTCTTAGGCTAGAGAGCAATCAGTTAAGCCTTCCAGAGACGGGTGAAGAGGCGGGCGGGGAGGGGTGGGGAGAGAGGGCGCGCACCGACACCGACTCACCATTCCCGAGCAGAGGCTGATGACCGCTGTGTGCTCAGACTTGGTGTTGACATGGCCTTTGTAGAAGCAGTGCTTGAGTTCCGCTTCCTCCTCGGAATAAAACTTCGTCTGATTCTCCCCGGGCGTCCCGAGGAGAGTGACAGTGAACATGGGAGCGATAAATCCGGCGTGGGCGGAGAGATTAAATAGAAATTGCTGGCCGAAGGCAGAGAGGCGGTAATGCTCCTGGGAAGAGGTAGAGGAGGAACCGAAGGCAGGCCAGGGGTCAGAGGCAGAGTTAATGCTCCGTCGCCTTCTTTTGAAGTGCACGTTCGTGTAAAAGGGCTCTCCGAGAGCGTTCACTCGGATGGGAGACGCGATTTCGTATTCGCTCAGGGTCTCTAATAATTTCACTGCAGGGGAAAAAAAGCAGGGACACATGAACCAATAATTCCACTTTCCGCAAACCAGTTTTCTGCAAGTTTTAATTTAAAATGAAGGGGGCTGGGCAGCCCGGGTGGCTCAGCGGTTTAACACAGCCTTTGGCCCAGGACGTGATCCTGGAGACCCGGGATCGAGTCCCACATCGGGCTCCCTGCATGGAGCCTGCTTCTCCCTCTGCCTGTGTCTCTGCCTCTCTCTCTCTCTCTCTCTCTCTCTCTCTCTGTATCTCCCATGAATAAATAAATAAAATCTTAAAATTAAAAAAAAATAAAATAAAGGGGGCTTTGTCCCGGGTTATTTTTCTGGCTTTTTTTTTTTTTTTTTGCCCATTTGAGTCCACGCCTTCCCCCTAAGCCCATGCATAAATATTCGCAGAGCACCTACTATGCGCCAGGAAAGGAAAGGCCAGGAACTGTGCCAGACTCTGAGCACACACAATTAGCAATCAGACAATAAGTCAGAAAATAACATAATTTCAGATCCTGACAAATGCCCCGAATAAAATAAAACATGCCACTATCTGCTAGGCCTCCCCACCCCCCTCCACCCCCGTTACTAAGTAACTCTAGTTTGGGGCATGGAGGTGGGGAGTGGAGGGGAGAGCAAACTAGGAGCCGAGGGGTGGGGGGGCTGCTGCTGGAGGAGACTAAGTTTGTTCTCCAGCGCCTCTCTCTAGAAATTGGCTGGGAATGACCCAGAGAAGGGAGCGGCTGCAAAGCCGGAGATAATTCTTTCTAGGAAAAGGAGGGAGAGCGCGCGGGAGGCCTCCGCCGCGGGGTGCCCGCTGCCGGGCGCTGAGGCTGCGGAGGCGGCGGCTGGCGCGGAGGGGTTGCGGTGGCCGGAGCCTCGTTACCTTGCCTCGGGTGCAGCCTGTCCTTGCGCACGGCCGCCGCGGCGTCTGGGCTCCCCATCTCGGCCAGGTCCCGCACCAGGAACGTTAGCAGTGTGGCCCAGGATACAAACTGCATGGTGCTCCCCACCCCTCCCCCGTGGCTCCCACCCCCCTCCCTCCTGCCCGGCTTGGCTGCGGCGGCGACGCGAGGCAGCGGCCGCGGGGAGCGCGCGGAACCCGGCGCCCGCCGCCAACTTTTGACTTTAGGAGTCGCTGAGGTCTCGCCGCGAGGGTCCCGTCTGCGCTCGGCTGAGCAACGCCGCCGCCTGCCGAGAGCTGAGCCGCTCGGGCCGCAGGAGGAGCCGGAGGAGGACTGGGGCTCGGCTGCTCGGCCGCATAATGTCCAGGGAGCCCGCGGGAGAAGGCGCGGAACGTGCGCTCCGAGGCGCGCCGGGCGCCCTGTGCTGGCGGGGATAGCGGAGCGGCTTCTTGAATGGGGGGCCAGGGGGGCGGAGGCGGGGGGGCCGCGGGTCCTCCGCCGCTCAAATACCCCGGGTGCCCGCCTCTGGGAGGAGAGGGGAGGAGAAAGCGGAGCGAGCGGGGACCGCCTCCTTGCAGACCGAGTCCCCTCCTCGGCGGCCCGTGCGAGCCCCGCAGCCGGCCTCGGAGCCAGGGGAGCTCGGGGAGCTCGCTCGGGGAGCTCGGGGAGCCCGGGGAGCCCGGGGCCGGCCGCTCGCTCGCGCTCCCCGCCACCCCGAGGAGCTCGCCTCTGCAGAGGTCCCCTGCCCTGCGGAGGGAAAGCGTAGAAAGTTCTCTCGCGCTCCCGGCGCTCTCAGTTTCCGTCTCTCGCCTCCCAGGAGCCCCTCCCTCTGCCCTTTCTCGCTGCAGCCGCGCTCTCTTCGCCTCCTCGCCCCGGCCGCCCCGCGCCGCCCCGCGCCGCCCCGCCTCGGCACCCGGTTCTCCCACTGTGCGCCTGCTGCCTCGCTCTCTCCTCCCCCCTCTTCTCTTTCCTCTCTTCTGTCCCCTGGTCTTTTCAGCAGCCCCCTCTCCTCTTCTCCCTCCGCCTCCCCCTCCTCCTTCACGACTTTCTTTCTGCCCCGGTCTCGCCCCTTCTTTTGGTTTCTTGCAAGTGAAAGTGGCCCAGAGCCGGAGCGCCTTCCCCTCCTACTGTTTCTCACTAGGGGCGGCATGTGGAGCATCTGAGCGCCAATCTCGATTGGGTCGCCCCAAGTCCAGGGTTTTAGAGATGGGGGTTCTCAGCCTGTGCGTTTCAGATGCACAGTCTTTTGAACGTTTCGCAGAGCTGTCAAGCTGTGTTCTTCCCTCAACCTCTGTCCCCATCCCGCGAAATGCCAGAGCTTTTCATAGGTCCCCAGCCCAAAAAAGGTTAAGAACTGCTCTGGGCAGCGAGGGGGGCGGGGACTTTGGTGCCCAGACGGAGTTCAGAGATATGGGGGAGAGGGGAGTGAGGGTGGAGTGCTAGGGGACAGTCGTGGGCCCGGGCGGGGGTGGGGACGACAGCGTGGGGGCGAGGAGGACCAGTCCCGGGAAGGTTTTCTCAATCACTTCTCCTTCCTTTTCGCCAGAGAGATGCTTGGAGTAAGAAGCTCAAAGCTGATGCTTCAAGCTACACCTACCGCGGCTTTGGGATGCAAATTTGGAAGTTAGACAAGCCCGAGCTTGGAGGCTGTGTGTGAGCACGTGTGAGTGAGAGGGAGGGAGGGAGGGAGGGAGGGAGGAGGGGGTAGGGAGAAAGAGAATTGTTTAAACCTGGGTGGTTCAAAAGTACTTTTTCCTTTACCAGCCCTCAGGAAGAAGGTAGGGTGTGCTAATTTCACTAATTTCAAGAGAAAGGAAATGGCAATTAAAGTAAAAGATAGGACAAATGTATATTTGGTCAAGTGTCCCAGCACTGGAATTTTCTTTACTTAGTAGGCTGGCATTCTGGACTGGAAATACCAAAGATTACCAACACCAGGGACCAAATACCAATATGCGTGAAGTGTTCCCATCTCTTGAAATGTTAATGCATATATTTCTTTGGGTAGAGGAAATGACTTGGTAATTCCTAAAAAAAAGTTTAAGTCCTAAAAAAAAGTTGTTAACCCAAATGGACCAATGGTGCCATTGTCTAATTGTATTACTGTGATTTATAATGAGTATAAACAGTATAAAGATGGGGAAAACAGAAACACTTATAAAGGGCAAAGATTTTTATTTTTTATTTTTATTTTTTAAGATTTTATTTGTTTATTCCTGAGAGACACACAGAGAGAGGCAGAGACCTATGCAGAGGGAGAAGCAGGCTCCCTACAAGGAGCCTGATGTGGGACTCAATCCTGGGACCCGGGGATCATGGCCTGAGCCAAAGGCAGATGCTCAACCGCTGAGCCACCCACGTGTCTCAAGGGCAAAAATTTTTAAAGGATGATGATTAGATCTTTTTCTTAAAGCTTCAAAATAATATACTAAAACACATGCTCTCTAAAACACTATCTTTTCATTACGTGATAAAATTCCTCACCATCACAGCGTCTGGGCATTGCAAACTTAGCAAGGAATGGAAAAAATATCACAAAAACAAACTATTAGTTGATTCTGATGGAAAGTATTCTAGAACTTTTACTGTAAAATTACTAAAATATAGTACTTTTACAGATACATAAATGAAAAGAACAGAAAAGAGAGGCCAGGAATAAGCCCATGTATATGGTCAATTGAGTTATAGCCAAGAGCCTAGATTATACAGTGGAGAAAGGACAATCTGTTCGATAACAATGCTTGGAAAACTGGACAGCCACATGCAAAAGAATAAAACTGGTAGCTTATCTTACATCATCCATAAAAATCAGCTCAAAAGGGATTAAAGACTTGAGTGTTAAGACCTGAAATCGTAAAACTCCTTGATGTTGGTCTTGGCAATGACATGTTGGATATGATGCAAAGGCAACAAAAGCAAAAATAAACAAGTGGGACTACATTAAACTAAAAAGCTTCTGCAAGCAAAGGACTTATCAACAACATGAAGAGGCAACCTATGTAATGGGAGAAAATATTTGCAAATCATATATACTGGATAAGGGGTTAATATCCAGAATACATAAAGAGCTCAATACTACAACCCAGTAGCAAAAAAAAAAAAATCAATTAAAAAATGGTCGGAAGATCTGAAAAGACATTTTTATATACAGACAGGTGAGGGCACCTTGGTGGCTCAATGGTTGAGTGTCTGCCTTTGGCTCAGGGCGTGATCCTGGGATTTTGGGATCAAGTCCTGCATCAGGCTCCCTGTGGGGAGCTTGCCTCTCCCTCTGTGTCTCTTATGAATACGTAAATATAGTCTTAAAAAAATAAGATATACAGATGGCCAGCAGGTACATGAAAAGATGCTCAACATCACTAAGCATCAGGGAAATGCAAATCAAAACCACATGAGCTATCACCTCACACCTGTTAAAATGGCGATTATTTAAAAGACAAGAAATAACACATTTGTTGAGGATATGAAAAAAAATGGAACCTCTGTGCACTGTTGGTGGGCATGTAAATTAGGACAGGGATGAAACACAGTAAGAATAGTTTCTTTAAAAAATTAAAAATAGAATTACCACGGGATCAAGCAGTTCCATTTCTAGGTATATCTGAAGGACACAAAACCCTAACCTGAAAAGTTATCTGTATCCCCATGCTTACTGCAGTATTACTACCAATAGCCAAGACATGGAAGCAACCTAAGTGTCCATGAGTGGATGAATGGATAATGTAATAGTGGTACATATATAATGGAATATTATTCAGCCATTAAAAAAGCAGGAAAGCTTGTGGCAATGTGAATGAACCTTGAGGGCATTTTGTGAAGTAAGTCAGACAGAGAAAGACAAATGCCATCTGATCTCACTTACATGTGGAATCTAAAAAAACTCCAAAAAACTGAACACATAGATACAGAGAATAGATTAGTGGTTGCCCGAGGTGGGGGTAGGTGGTGAGTAAAATGAGAGAAGGTAGTCAAAAGGTAAAAAGCTCCAGTTAAAAGATAAATAAGTCTTGGAATGTAATGTAACACAATAACCATAGTTAGCAGTATTGTATTGTACATTTGAAAGTTCCAGAGAGGGAATCTTAAAAGTCATCACAAGCAAAAGAATTGTAACTATGGGTGGGGATGGATATTAACTAGACTTACTGGGGCATCATTTCACAATATCTACATATATCAAAGCATTATATTGTATACCTGAAACTAATGTATTATTATATGTGAATTTTATGTCAATAAGAAAATAAAGCTTATAAAGAGTAAAAAAAAACATAGCAGTTTTCAATATTTTCTATTAAATAATTTTCCCTCTTTCACTTTAAACCCTCCTGATAAAGGTAAGCTGACAATAAAGAAACTATTTATATGTAGGGACAGAAGTTTCCTTTGTGTATTTTCTCTCCTTAGCTTCCTTTCTAGGACTTTATTTATTTATTTATTTGAAATATTTTATTTATTTATTCATGAGAGACGCAGATAGAGAGAGAGAGAGGCAGAGACACAGGCAGGGGGAGAAGCAGGCTCCATGCAGGGAGCCTGATGCAGGAGTTGATCCCAGGACTTGATCCCAGGACTCCAGCGCCAAACCGCTGAGCCACCCAGGGATCCCCTAGGACTTGACTTTAAAAGAGGAACTCTGTTTACTCTTCTTTAAAATTGTTCCTGATATAACCCAGTCATCTCCACAAGCACTGACAAGAAAGGAAAATCCCAAGTTTCTCTTGGTGACCTCGTGATGTGACCAAGAACCTAGGTTTCTCAATTTCTCAACCTCAGCGAGAGTCTGTTCATCCTTTCTCAAGTGTATTATCTTGCCTTTGAATTTATATCTGTAAACAAAGGTTTAAAAGTCTTAGGAAGCCATTTGCAATCATAGCATAGAACAATGGAGTGAACTATCTAAATAATTCAGATCCAGATCTTTTGTCTGAATCATCATCATCATCATCATGTTGTTTTTACCATGTGCCAGACCATGTAAAAATGGTCTGCATTTAATTCTTATAACAGCTTTATGAAGCAGGTAGTATTGGTAATTTCATTTTATGCATAATGATAGCAAGGTCTAAAGTGGTGAAATAATTTGACAAAGGTCCTTTAATTAGTAAAAGGATTCAAATTCTGTCTCAGCAGTTTAGTCCAAGTTGATCATCACTGTCATATATAATGAATAAAGGACTGATCAAAAGCATGGCTGGGTTTTCAGGATTTGGTTTGGGAGAGGTTGGCTAATACCATGTGGAGAGTTGCCTCAACTTTCCATCCTATGTATAGTTTTTCTTTGGCTCTCTAACTTCCTTTTCTTATGCTGAGTATTTCATGATAATCATCTTAGCTATTTCACAACTTTTTCCTTGGCACCTACAACAAATCTGGTACATAGTAGGTGCTCAAATATTTACTGAATGAGTAAGTATATTCTTTATTTTATACAAATACATATACACGTGCAGTGTAGATAATAGTTTTATGAATAGGAATATAGAGTTACTTGAGTTCAAGGAGAAAAGTGGATTCTTTAGTAACCTGGCCCATCACAAAAGTTTGCTGGAAAAGAAGCAGAGCTTTTGGAGGTCACCTAGAGTTAACAGACAATTTTTACCGCATTTTCTTCTCCCAGGGTTTACTGGAATTGTACGTTATTGTAGGTTAAGTGGAAGACCTCTTTGGCTGATTTTTCATGAAAATTGTATCCCAGAGGACTGATGATTGACATTAGTCACTAGGGAGAGATAAGCTGGCCAATGGAAATGCAAGACATTGACATCACAAGTGACTTTGTTTGTAGAACATCACTGGAAAGAGCAGGAAGGAGAATTGAAGCAAAGCCATCTATTTCTACAGAAAGGGAAAATCCACACCCGAATGATAGGGAGAGACCAGGAGCCAGAATTAAAGTGAATAGTTTCCTGAGTGGTCAGCAGTGGGTGGTTTCTGGAATAGATAAGCCTAGGTACTGAATTTTACAGGGTTCCGGTGGATGAAGCAGGGAACGGGTGGTATCCCAACTCTGACCTTGAGCAATACGCTTTCTCATTGCTTAGTGGAGGTAGGGGAAAACTATCAGCTTTTTTTGCCACATGGGTAAAGGACATTACTGTATTTTTTAAAGTCTTTTTTTTTATTAAAGATTTTAATTATTTATTCATGAGCGATAGAGAGAAGCAGAGACACAGGCAGAGGGAGAAGCAGGCTCCATGCAGGAGCCCAATGGTGGAACTCGATCCTGGGTCTCCAGTATCACACCCTGGGTTGAAGGCAGGCACTAAACCACTGAGCCACCCAGGTATCCCAAAAGTCTTTCAAATACTAACTTCAAGTAAAGGGAAATGTAGCAAAAGCTATAATTGTATACCATTAGTATATCAAAAGCTATATGAGTTTTACTGTTAGAAATAATAGTACAAGGCTCTCTTGAGTTTGTACTTTGTGCTAATTAATTCTCATTGCCAGTCCTGCCATCTGGGTTTTACTGTCCCCATTTACATATGATGAAAATAAGACTCAAAAAGTGAAGTGACTTGCCCATCATTACAGAGCTAGAATGTGCTGAGTTGAGGTCTGAACTTTACCTTGAAAGTTCATGATCTCCATTAACCAGAGCAGCCTGGTAATGTGAAAACATACACCTAATTGTTCTTGATCATTCTGCCTTTATACTTGGCCTGATGAAGACGATCTTTAAGAACTTTTTTTTCTGGGGCACCTGGGTGGCTCAGTCAAGTATCCAACTCTTGATTTTGATTCAGATCATGATCTCAAGGTCATAATTTTGAGCACCGTGTCGGGCTCCACACTGGGCATGGAGGTTGCTTAAAATTCTCTCTCCCTCTCCCTCTGCTTCTCCCCTATGCACTTTCTCTCTCTCTCTCTCTCTCTCTCAAAAAGAACTTTTTCTTTCTTTTAATGCTAAATCTAAAGCTTTAAAGAAGTTTTCTTATGCCTACTCTGAAAGACATAGTTCCAATTTGTAAGGTAGCTCTAGATACTCATGACTAGCTCATGGCAGTTCTACAAAGTTTTTAACTCACCAGGTGTTCCAGGCTTACTTGTCGTTCCAGAAGACCATACTTTTGCTATTGTCTAGGGTGTGGAGCCCCATATGAATCCCATTAATATTCACATGAGACTCTTTGGGCTTCGAATCCTTATTCTATCCCCTCTGATACCTTGTGGACTGAAACTTTCAGACTTGGGGTTCAACTCATAACTACAAATGATTTGGAAGTATGGGACTGCTAGCTCGGATCCAAACCACTTTGAAACTGAAGCCAGATCAGAAAGCAATACGGTGTGTGCAAATACAATGTCACCGTTTTGTGAAAGAGCATGTTTAACATAGATGTGTGTTATATATATGCTAGCATGGAATCTGATAATTCTTGGAGTATTTTGAGATGCACCGGGATGCCAGTATACCCTCTAAGCCTTGAAATTCTCCTGTCCTACGTTGTTTCACAGTAGTTTGTCTGTTGTTGTTAGCTTTTTTTTTTTTTAAGATTTTATTGATTTATTCATGAGAAACACACAGAGAAAGGCAGAGACATAGGCAGAGCGAGAAGCAGGTTCCCTGCTGGAAGCCCAGTGAGGGGGGGGGACTCAATCCCAGGACTCTGGGATCATGCCCTGAGCCAAAGGCAGATGCTCAGTCGCTGAGCCATCCAGGGGTCCCTACACTTTCTGTTGTTATGAGGGCGAGAAGCAGATCAATCTCCCATTGTATCCCCTCGGTGGTATGTAACAGGCACTTAATAAATGTTTCTTAAATTAAGGAGTTAACTATTGCCCCACAATTATTTCTAACTTTCAGAGTCGGTGTTTCCTTTAATTAGTGAAAGTCATTCTTTCGTATACAACACACACACACACACACACACACACACACACACACACACACACAGGAAACCCCAGGGATAATGGACATAATGTCTATTTTTCATGGTATCATTACTCATGAGAAGCAAGACTTGCTTTAATTAGAATCTTATCACGGTTCCTTTTGTCAGAGTAGAAATTTTCAGAGCTAGGCTTTCCCTGATGGCTACTTCACAATCGTGAGTGTGACTAGTAAAAGACAAATATTATGGCAGTTTTCATATCCTTTGTATATCCTGAACACAGGGTAATCGTAGTTACCTGCCTCAAAGGGATGGTGTGACAATGAATTGACCAATGAAAATTTTGGCTTAGTAGGTGGCATATAGTAAGTGATCTCTGTTCAAATCAGTGGCCTCACTCTAACCCACTTGTTAGTTAGCAAGAGTGATTTCTGATGCAGTTTGACAGAAGAGGATGCGGTCAACCTAGCACCCCTTTCCTGTTAACCTCTTTCAGCAAGTTATGAGCCTGTCTCCTCCTGGGAAATGAAATAAGTCATGTGCGTGCTAATATTTCTTTGACTATGCATTTCTTCTACACTTACCCGTGCTGTTAGTCTCCTAGTCCTTTTAAAATTATTTTTGTTTTTAAAAACAGCTTTCCTCTTCCTCATACTCTGCTTAAACTAGCAATTCTAGCATATAAGTCTAATTTAGTGTTTTTTCAAGCCCTGGGCCTCTTGTTTTCCTGGCAGAATTTTTAAATAATCAAAACATAATTTTCCCTATAAACGTTAAAAAATGTTTTTTTTTTATGGCAAGCAATTATTACACATGCAAAAAAGTAATTTCCTTTGCAGATGATGCTTAATGGCTTGTCTGTCCTAGTGGTATTTATTATAATAATGGCAACCCTTAACAATGGCTTTCTATTTCTAGGCACAATGGATAATACTGTATTCAATCCTCCTGGCAGCCTAATGAAACAGGAATGCCTTTAGTCCCACTTTTCAGAGGAGGAAATGAAGGCCCAGAGAGGACACATAACTTACCTGAGGTTGCACAGCTAGTGAGTAGGGACTCAAAGCCAGACTTTTTTTTCCCCTTTCTTTCCTTTCTTAAAAAAATATATATATTTAAAAATAGATCGACAAATATATTTATATGTAATTATTTAATATATATTTTTAAATATATTATAAATATTATAAATGTATATTTACATATGATTATTTTTATTTTTTTATTTACATATGATTATGTATGATATATAATAAAATACATTTTTTTAAAGTAGGGTCCACACCTAACATGGCACTTGAACTTACAACTCTGAGATCAAGAGTCACATGTTCCAACTGACTGAACCAGCCAGGCACCCCTCAAAGTCAGGCTTTCTGATTTCAAGGCTGATGCCCTTAAGCCATGACATTATACTGACTGTTGTATGTGTTTAAGCTCTATTAAGCTTCATACAGGATACATTTTTATGCTCAGGAATATAATCCTGAAGAGCAGAAATCTTGACATTAATAGACATTCAGATATTGGGCCACTGGGGAAGAGGCCAGTACGGGGTCTGGTTTAGGGACTCAGAAATGATGGAATTCTGAACAGCAAGCGAAGTGGATATTGAGGAGGAAAATGTCTTTCCAGCACCCTAAGCCACTCATTCTCCTAAATGTAAGACTGGTCTTTGATAACACTAGTCATCTTCAGTTGTCTCAATGCCACTGCTATTTTTTTTTCACTGCCATTTTTATAAACTCTTGTGGCCCTCATTCAGCCCAGGATCCTAGTGTGATTCAGGCTGCCTTTGGTCCTTGCTATGAAAACAGCATATAACCAAAAGGCTTGCCTTGAAGCTGTAAAAGTAGTTCACATTTTGAATTCCCTATCATGAGCTTTAGTGGGGGCCCAGTACAAAGAACTTATCAAAATATCTCAGCTACTGTGACCACCAAGGACAATGGAGAGAGAGAGAGGCTGGGGGGCAGGGAGGAGTACCTTCATTTTCCAAATTAATGTGCAAAAACATAAATGTGTCGCATGTCCCAGCTTGACCTGGCAAGGAGATTATGTGACAGCAAATCAGTGCCAGTTGTAAGTGGCATATTAACCATGCACTACCTTTGTATTAATTGGCACCAATAACACAAAATAAGTTGCTTCCTGAAATGTAAGCCTAGCAATTAGTGCCTTGTTGTGTCCCTATCAGATGTTGGCAAAATAATTGGCTTTGCACTTGTTTCTCCCCCACTCAAAAACAGGTCTGACGGTACGTATCGGTGGCATTCACGGCAAGCGTAACTGGAATAAACTTCAGCTACCGTTGGGCTCTGTGCAAGAGGTACAGTTACAAGAAGCAAGGGTTTGGAGGTAGAATTTTCATTTGGGCAATCTTTCCATGGTGGTGGCGGTGGTGGTGGTGCCTGAATTCTACTTACGGTACACAACACAAATGCACCTGTGTAAACTTTTTGTAAGCAGCACTTCTTACAGTACATTACTCAGTTCATTAATTCCTCACAGAATTTGTATTTGCTCTAAGGTACTTTTTCTGACAAAACAGAGATCACAGTAGAGAAATAAGTCTATGAGCAGTGATTTTGGTCCTTTAGTCAAGGAGTGACAGAGGTCCTAAAAATAAAATAAAAAAAAAAGACACAATTCAAGACAATCTCCTCCCCCACTTTACTGGCCAGGTGAAAAGGGAAGATAACCATCAAGAAACAGTAAATTCAATGAGATATTAGACAATGATTGAAGAGTAAGGAAGAGCTGTGTGTTGCAGGACATAAACATGTCTGAGATGTATTGTTAAGCAAATAAATTCCAGAATTGTTCATCTAATTGGGTCCTAGGGTAATAAAAACAAAATAAAGTGTCAACAACAAGATCTCAGCCTGTGCTAGAACAGGATATGCATAGGAAAAAAATATTTAGAAAGATGGATATACATCAAACCATGACCATAGGACTGTGATCTCTGGGACTGGGGATTATGGAAATCTTTTATCCTTTCTACATTTCTGTGATAACCATTTCCATATTTTTAATAATTTTTACAAGAAAATACAACTTTCTTAATAAGAAAATTTTAAGATACAAAGACAATATATATGTAGAAAATATTACGGTATCAATCCTTAGGGAAACTTTTCTCATAAATTATGCATAAGTTAGCTTTTTCTGTACCATTCAGTATTTGAAAATAACCTTATATGTATTGTGCATACGTGAACAAGTACCAGAAAGAGATTTATGATAAGCAAGGCTTTTGAAAAGAGTTCAAGGGGAGCCTTGAACTTAGCCTTGTGACTTAGAAATATAAGCATTTGATATACAGTAATTGTGGATTTAAAATATGAATGCAGAATAACAGCTGAGTAGCAGGAAAAAAGTAAAAGCATTCCCAAACCCTGAGAGGATACTTTAATACATATTTATTGAACATCTATATGCCATGCACTTTGCAGACATCACTGGAGTTCACAGTCTAGGGGGGAAGTAAATACACAAGATAAATAGGTGAACGGGTATATAATTAAACATTGTTCTAAATTTTGCAGAGATTAAAAGGGTGACAGTGTAGATGAAGTGAACCAGAAGACATTGTTGAGAAGTAAGGGAATAAGAAGGAGCCAGCCTCCTCAAGATTAGGAAAAAAAATATTCCAGACATAGAGAGAACAGCAGGGCAAGGTCTGGAATAGGAAAGAAGTGGGAATGTTTCAGAGCCTTAAGAAGCACTTGTGGGATGAGTCCTGTGAGCAAAGAGATGGTTTCAGGGGAGCCAGAAGCTAGGCGCTAGAGGGCCTTCAGATGAGTCTGCATTTCATTTTGGGTGCAAAGGAAGACAGAGAAATGGTTTAGGTAGGGGATGACAAGATGCTCTTGTCATTTTAAAAAGATCCCTCTAGCTGCTGTGTGGAAGATGGAGTCAAGGAGAGGTATTGTGATGTTCCCATGGCTTGAACTAGTGGAGGTATGTGGACATGTACAGGGTATATTTTGAAAGTAGATCCAACAGGATATGGTGAAGGATGTTATTGTGGAGATGAGAGAGAAGGGGGCATCAAGAATGAGTCCCACCGGGTCTTATGCAGAAATTGCTATTTTTTAATGCACAAATAACAACTACATAGGGAATAGAAGCCACACATACAATAGCAATGAAATCACTGGGAATAGAAATACCAGGAAATGTGTCCTGCCTAAGTGAACGATATTTTTCCAACACTAATAAAGTCTTCAGAGGAGATGTGAGTAAATGGGAAGATACCCTCTTCACAGGATGCTTGACCATCACAGAGGTGCCCATTCTCCCTGAAACAGTTTACAAAATGATTAGAACCCCAAATACAAATACTCACAATTTGTTTCTGTTATTTTTTTTTTTGTTTGAATAAGACAAATTAAGCCAAAGTATGTTTGGGAAGATAAATGAAAAAGAGCAGCTCAGAAAACTTTGAAAATGAAGAACAATTTATCTCTGTGTTGCTAGTATTAATACCAGATATTAAAATAGAATATAAAATCTCAAATAAATAAATAGAGTGATACTGGATTGTGAATTAAGAGAAAATCCAATAAAAGGTAAATTAGGTGAACTAGAAAAATCTAGAAGCTAGATTTTAGAAAAATCCAGAAATAGCATGAACTGTGAGAATTTTGTTTCTAAAAGAGATGACTTCTGAAACTTTCTGGGAAAACATAGGCTGTTCACAACACAGTGCTAGAATGACATGGTAGCCATATGGTTTTGAAACTTACTAACTAAAAATAATAAAGTTGAATCTGTACCTCACACTTTAAATATATGCTTGATCCACATCGAATGAATCAAGAATTGAATATAAAAGTTAAATCAAGAAAGATCTGGAAGAAAAGAGGAGGAAATACTTTATATCTTTGGCATAAGAAAGCTTCCTAGTTATAACTCAAAACTTCACAAGCCATATAGAAAAAAAAATTGAAATGTTTAACTTTGTTACAAAACAAGCAAAAACAAATTCTGTGTGAGAAGAAACATCCTAATCAAAATCCAAAAGTCAAATAAATGACAAACTGAGAAATTATATTTTCAGCTCATCACACAAAACGAGATCTTTCCTTCTATCCAAAAGAAAAATCTGAAAAAGGTGTCGATTGATAGCTCATGAGAAAGGAAATTACAAATGGTGTGCCCCTGTAAAAAGGTACTTGATTTTATTTATAATAAGAAGAAATCCAATTAAAACTATGCCAGTGCTAGTTTTTTAACTATCAGGCAAATTCTTCATACATATAGTCAGTTACGGTACTTTTTACATGCCTATGTGTGCATGTAAAAAATGGGGAAAAATAACATTTTTGTCTGCTCATATATTCTAAAGAAACTTAAATGGATACACAAGAAGCTAAGTTCAGTGGTTGTTACACTGCGAGGAAGACTGGGAATTGGATAAATGGGGAATTTATTAGTTTGCTGAGGTTCTCTAGAGAAGCCGATTCAAAAAGATGTGTGTGTATGTGTATATATATGTGTGTGTGTGTGTGTATTTGTGTATATTATATACACACATATTATGTAACATATATTATATATAAAGAGATTTATTATAGGGAATTTTTTATAAACAATTGGCTTATGTTTATGGAGGCTGCCAAGTCCAAGTACCTACAGAATAAGTCAGCTGGCTGGACACCCAGGAGAACTAATGAGTTAGTTCCAGTCCAAGCCTAGAGGCCTGAGAACAAAGAGAGCCAATGGTTTAGTACCATCTGAAGACCAGCAGCTTCAAGACCCAGGAAGAGCCTATGTTTCAGCTCCAGCCTGAAAGTGGAAAGAAGCGGATGTCCCACATTAACAGCAGTGAGGTAGGAAAAATTCTCTCTCACTTGAGGAAGCGTTAGCCTTTTTTTTCTATCCAGGCCTTCAAGTGATTATATGAGGCCCACTCACATTATAGAGGGCAAGCTGCTTTACTTAGTGTACCAATTGAAGCAATCATCTCATCCTAAAACACCCTCACAGAGAATGCCCAGAATAATAATGTCTCATCAAATATCTGGACACCCTGTGGCTCAGTCATGGTGACACATAAAACTAACCATCACAGCCTACTATAACGAAAATACCACAGATTTGAGTGGCTTAAACAACAGAAATGTATTTTGTGACAGTTGTGTGAAGGCTGGATCAAGGTACTGGCAGGGTTATTTTCTGGTGTGACTTCACTCTGGCTTGCAGAGGGCCACCTTCTGGCTGTGTCTTCACCTGGCCTTTCCTATACGCTCATGAAGTCTTGATGTCTCTTCCTATAAGAAAGGAGGAGACTTCTCTTGATTGGATTAGGGCCCCCATACTTCTCTCATTTAACCTTAAGTACCTCCTTAACGGCTCTGTCTCTAAAGTCACATCATTGGTTAGGACTTCATCATATGAGTTTGTGGGGGCAGGGCACATTCAGCATGACAGGAGATGAGGATGGGAGGGAGAATCTCATTATTGTGTTTTTTTTTTTTTCTTAATCGTCTGGGTTTTAAGCTATCTGAGTAGACTACCTTTTTAGAAAAAATTCTAAAATGAATTCCACATTTCTACTCCAGCAACTTGAAGGATATTGATGTCATTCACTAAAGTGAAGAAGGCTGAGGGGAAAGCAGTTTGGGCAGGTGGGAGTGGAGCTGGAAGCGTGGTGCATGCTGGAGGGCCACTCTAGTGGAATGTCACTTAGGCAGATGGTGTTCAGGAATTTATGTTGAAGATGAGAAACAGCAATGTTTCTTTTACATGCTTATAAAGTCAGAGAAATGCATGAGATCACCCAAGACAGTGGTACTCAAAATTTATTTAACATGCTTTAGAATCATCTGGAAAGATATTGCAGGGCTCTGCCCACAGTTTCCAATTCAGTAGTTCTGAGGTCAGATCTAAGAACTTAACACTTCTAACAAATGCAAAGGGATGGTGGTACTACCACTGGCTAGAACCTTGGAGAATCATTAGCCTAGGGCAACGATTCTCCCTTCTAACCTCATATTGGTATCAGATGGAAAGCCATGAAGAAGAACACAATTACCTGGGACCCATCCCACTGTAAGCCAATAAAGTGAGAACTTCTGGGAAATGGGCCTGGGCACTGATAAATTTTATTTATTTAATTCTATTTATTTATTTTTTGAGGGGGGCACTGGTAAATTTTAAGAGGTCCCTTGTTGATTCTGACATGCAGCCAGGGAAGAAAGCTTCTGACTGAGGAAAAAAGATCCTGGAGAAAGGAGAGAAAGCCAAGAACAAAGACTTTAGAATTGCTACCTTTTATTTTATTTTTTTAAAAGATTATTTATTTACTTATTTTAGAGA